AGCAGCTCCATGCCCACCAGGGATCCTTAGGAAGCATTTCCGTGCCACGCTGGTTCTGGGCAGAGCAATGCCTGTGAGTTGCCTAATTCAGGAGTGTCCTGAAGGAGTCATTTGAAGTACCTCCTCTCTGGATGAGGAAACAGTTGCTTGGCAGCAGGAAACGTGGAAACGTTTGTAGTGCCTCATCCTTCCCTTGGGGCACTGCTCGTTTCTCCTGAAGTGTTGCCCTCACTTACTGAAAGCCATTGGTTTGGAAGCCCTGGCTGATGTTCAGACCATGCGCACGAACCAAGAGCAGGTCACGGTGCCAAGCGGAGCGGTTGGAACTCTTATCTCTTTGCTGCAAAAACGAAGAGGCTCCACTGGCCCCAAGGTGAGGAGGTGAGCTCCTCAGGCGGCCAAGCCCCAGCCCCAGCTCCCACAGGTGGGATGAAACCCCTGCCCACGGCTGCCTCTGAGCCAGGCGAGATGGAGCCCATGAGTTCAAGTGGGACATGCCTCCAAAAAAAAAAGTGGTGGTACCATCTCGCCCCATGCTGCTCCCTCTTCCCAGTCCTCCCCTCCCACCCATTCCCATCCAGGCAGCGGAGCCTCCCTGCGGGTGCTGGACCCGTGTGGGGATAAGCAGGCTGCACATCATCTCCCTCCAGCAAAACGGGAGGGAGCGGGAGGCCCAACCCAGCACCATCAATCCCTCGGGACTTTGAGGGCACGCGGCAGCCCCTAGAGCTGCTTAGGAAGCCTTGGCAATTCATGGAATCATCAGAGTTGGAAGGGACCTTCTAGAGATCATCTAGTCCAACTCCCCTGCCAAAGCAGGCTTGCCCAGAGCACATCACTCAGGGCTGCATCCAGGTGGGTCTTGAAGATCTCCAGAGAAGGGGTCTCCACACCCTCCCTGGGCAGCCTGTTCCAGGGCTCTGGCACCCTCACCCTGAAGAAGATCTTCCTCAATTAGCATGGCCATTTGTGGCTGCCTTTCCTTAAACCCTGAGCAAAAATCAAAAGGGCCAAGAGGGTTATTAAACAGTCAGAAACCATGAAGTTTCCTTGGAGAGGGAGCAGAGTGGCTGGCTGGTTGCTCAGCAGGGCAAAGAGCGCTCCGTGCACGTCCAGGAGACGGGCTGCTGGGGTGCAGATGCATCTACGGGATGGAGCACGGCAAGGTCCAGGCTTCCCAGTGCTTGGGTCACCCCATGGTGGGCTGCTGCAGCTGGTCAGGGTTATCCTGGTAACCAAACCAGGGTTAACCTAAGCAGGGTTACCAGCAGTCTCCACCAGCTTCACAGGCAGCAGGCTGTCTGTCTCCTCCACCAGCAAAGGTCCAAACACACAAAGCACTTCACTATCAGCAGCCGAGCACGGCGGTACTCAGCAGTAAGTAACTGTGTGTTTGTCTGATAACACTGCATTTGATTTCGGGCGCTGAATGCTTATGCAAGTGTCTGTTATGGTTTCTGTGGTTATCCAACAAGCCAAGGTGGCCTAGGTCTGTGAGGTTCCTCGAGGAGGAACTTCCTTCCTGTGCCACAGCAGCACCTAACAGGAACGGCCAAACTTGGAAGCATGAGGGCAAACCAGCTTCAGTAATAGACGGTGTTTCCCATTAAATCCATCCATTGCTCACAGGAAGTCCAGCTCCCTGCACAGATGTGGTCATTACCAACACCAGATGACCCAATCTGTTGACATCTCGTCTAGCGGAGCCTCAAAAATCTCCAAGGGTGGAGACTCTGCTGCCTCTCGGGGCAACTAACCTCCTAGTGACAATTTTTTTTTCCCTGATGTCCAACTTGAAACTCCCAAGACATAACCTGCGCCCATCACCTCCTCTTCTTCTGGCCATTTCTATGAAGCAGAGCTTGGCTCCGTTGTCGCTGTAACTCCTCTCCAAGCACCTGCTGGCTGCTATCAGGTCAGCCTGAGCCTCCCTCTCTCCAAGAAACTCACATTTCCCCAGCCTCTCCTCGTAGGCTTTTGCCATCTTGATATTCTTCTGCCAGACCATTTTCCCAATACCCCTCTTGAACTGGGGAAGGGGTCCAGCACTGGAAACAACACCCCAGGTACAGCCATTGACTACATCAGGTCCTCAAAGGACACCACCAGGACTGACTGACCCTGTCCATCCCTCAGGTCCCCCCCACAACCCTGCCCATGGCCCAGGACCCCATTTCAGATTTCTCAGGCAACCTGCTGACCTTTTTTTTTTTTTGGTGTTAAAGTATCTGGAACCAGACTTGCCTTAGAAACAGCACTGAAACACCTAGGGCCAACAACCACCTTCCACCTGAAGCTAGGTGCTGCTTTACAATCTAAAATATTCTTCTGTGGGACCACACTGTCAGAAAAAACGCCGTCTTCCTGCAATCCTTCCCTTTAAAAAGTGACGTGGTGCAACACCCCACGGTCTTCATTTTTTAGAGGCAAACTTCTGGCTCTCCTGGGAAGGCTTTCAGCACTGACTGGAGCTCACCCCACAGGTTTCTCTGAGACCAAGCGAGCCACAGGCAGTGTATAGTGTGCTGTGGGCAGGTGCCCACCCCATGCAATTCCCCTCCACAGCCCTCGGACCCCAAAAACGAAGGCTTGCTGCTGGCACCAAGAACACATCAGGTCAGTACCCATTAATTCATCACTTCATGGTTTTTCTGTGACAGCCAAGGTCAGAACCGGACACCATTCTTCTGCTGTATTGAGTCACCACAACTTCCTTCTTCAAAAACACCCCACTGCTTGCAGTATTTCAGCAGAATTAGGTGTTTGTGACATCCTTGCAATGTGGTCAATATCTAAGCTTAGTCTCTGAAGGTTCAGCTCAGGGCACTGAATCAAACTGCTGGAAAATTTTAAATATACCAAACTCAGCAGAACAATCTACCCATCTTATTTATCGCATCCACTTCTACTACTTATCGTCTGGGTAAACATACCCTCCTTCAAGTTATTTTGATATATGCTGTGACTGAGCTGCTGTACAAACCTTCCAAGTTTCAGTGGCTCCTTGTCAATGACAACAGGGATATTTCTCAGGTTTTATGTATAGTTCCTTATCTAATTAGTCAAACTCCACTTTAGGGTTCAACTGCGACTATAATTTCATTTGGCCCTGTTCCTTGTGAAGGTATACAAGGTATTGTGTACCTTCAAATACAATACTCTTGGACCTTGTTTATACAACAGATTTTTCAAAACACTTCCCACCATTAATTCAACAATACTCACTTCAATCTTCATGAGCGACACCGGGAACCTTGCTGTTAATCCTGCATCTGCCTCTTCTTCTGGTTAAAGCCTGACGTGGTAGAGCCCTGCCTGAGGAAAATCTGATGACCGAGACGCTGCAAAATTAGGGTTGTGTTTGAGAGTGAGGGGAAGGTGCAGGAAAGACTCATTACAGCCAACACCTGGGAGGTGCGCGAACAAAAGTGTATTTTTGCTGGAATTTGAATGGAAATGTGTGCCCGAAGAGTTTTCTCTAAAAATACCTCGGTTCAAGTGTGCAATAACTCCACGCAAGCACCCTACTGCAGTTCCCAGAAGAGGATAACCCACCTTCTGCCCTGGTAAACCAAGGTCTTACGCTTAGCCGTGATCTTCAGCCACCTTACAAGTCCTACCACGTTTGAACCGCTCCGACGCAGCTTTGCTCGTTAGTCTCACGTCACTTTATTGTGCATGTGGGAGTGTCTAAAAAATATCTGTAAATGTTAAATTTCAGCCATTGAGCTTTGGACAGCGTTTTAATTTGGAAATGCAGGTACCTCCGTTTGAGGTCACCTCCAGCTGCATTTTAGGTGCCCACCCAAAAAGTGCTTACCAGAAGCACACTGCTTTGCTGCAGGGTGACTTGCAGCCCTCCTTGCCGCCCTGGCACCACGCTGACAGCAGATGTGGGCTAAACCCTGTGTACATAGAGGAGAGGGATTCTGCCAAAAAACGCACCCTGCTCAGCTATCTTTTCCTCCCACCGGGATCGGAAGAAAACTCATTTCCGTTCCCACCTTCATGTATTTATGACAGCAAATTTACAGCTCTCATTTACGTACTTCCAGCTTAAAAGTGAGCATTACCAAGGAAAATGCTATCTACGCTCTCTGTGTATGTGCAAACATCTCCTCTAGACCTTGACCTCCAACGGCTGTAATGAAGAAATGTCCGGTTTGAGATAGTCCATGCTAAAAAACTTCCCAAAACAGTTTTGGGAACAGCCAAATTAACCAGAGAGTCCGGTCCTTCTCCTGCTGTTCGTGCAAAGGCAGCCACAGCTTACAGATGGCTGAGAGTTAATAATGAGGGCAAACAAATCCAGCCTGCAACCTTCATTATTTCTCCATCATGTACGAAGGTCTTAAGGAGAACTGATGAACCTAGAAATGCATAGATCCTAGTTGTCATCTCCACAGACCCATGTGAGGGATGCTGGGTCACCACATCAAGTCCCTGCTTCCCAGGTGGCCGAACGTGTCCCACTCTTTCTCTCTCTGCTGCTACCCAAAGAGCTCCCCAGGTGCAAACACCCATGTTGGTGAGGAGGAGAAGCACTCTGAGTGCTCTGCCCTCTTCCCCACCACATATGGAGCTCCTCTCTTTGGAGGAAAAGACTTATGAGCACACTGCAGGGAGAGACAAAGGCTTTGCCCTTCTTGGGACATGGGTGCTAGATGTGATGAGCTAGGATGCTGCTCCCCTGAAGCAGAGGACTTGGAGCAACCTACCTCCTTCTGGGGACACTGACTTCTCACCTTTCTGATACAAAGAAGGAAAAGGCATGAACTCAACTCCAGTCTACCCACAAGTCTATTGTCACGCTTCTGCTGGACACAGCGCAGACCTGTCACTCATGACAAACCTAACAGGTTCTGATACAGAGGCTTGCAGAAATGTGTCCTTAGGTTTTCTGCACATGCCACAAACGTGACTCACCTTCTGCGGTTACAAGAAGACAGAGGCAACCTGGCAAGCCCAGAGCAAACAAGTGATATCACCAGCATGATGCATGCATTTCTAGGCATCATTTTATTTCTCGATTAGGATTGCAACTAAAAAATTCCCCCAGTAAAACAACATGTGTGGGCATGGGAAAGAAGTCGATACCTTAGAAATGACGATTCCTGACACGCAGAGCGCGTTAGCAGGCATCTCATCCTGACCACACAGTCATCCCTGGCCCTGAAGGTAGCACACCTATGGGTACCAGTGATCTGGTTGATCACATTGCACAAATGCAAATCAGCATCATCCAGAGGTGTAACAAAATGATAACTGAGAAACCCAATTTTACCAAATGTTAACGTAATTGTCAACTTAAGCAAGCAGGGGCAGGGGAAGATGGAACGTGCTGAACATGGACAACCTCAGTGAAAGCAGCTGCCTATTCACATGCAGCTGGCTGTATTCTCCAAAAAATACAGTCCAGGAAATATAAAAACCAGGAATGGTGATCAAATCAGGAATGGTGATCAAAACCCATCCTGGTTAATTTTAAAGGAAAGAGCAACAACTTTACAGTGAGTAACACATCAGGAATGGGTAAGTGGCAATTATAGGCCTCAGATACAAATGGCAAATTAAAAGGTCTATGTGACTGATAAAGGAAGCAGAAGGAATCGAGAGGCTCCACAGCCTTACGGGCAACAGGACTTTAGGGCAGGTACAGGGTTATTTCAAGAGGCAGAAAGTCAGGAACAGCAGAGAAGAAATATCAGCTGCCTCCAGTCTACTTCTGATTGCTTTTCTATTTCGGGAAGGGTCCTCTTATGGAAAAGTACTGATGCACAGGCACCTTCTACAGCCACCATGTTTACTTTCAGCCTTCCCTGAACTGGGAAAGCTCTGCAGCCGCAGAGTGTGAAGAGGAGGAGTGGCTGATAAGCCTCTGGTCCCGATTTCCACAATACTGACTCAGAGTGGACCAGCTCCCTCCGAGGCTGTCACTGCCACCACACCACTGCCGGGAAAGAGGCAGCCAGGATGACTTTGCAAGTTGGTAGACCAGCAGGTGAGCAGGGTCACCAGGTCCATAGCTGGAGATAGGCTGGCGAGGGGTGGCATGGCACCGTGCCCCCTCTGGCAGTCATCATGCCTCCTTCTTCTCCACTGGAAGCCACGCCATCCGGGGTGCAGCTGTGTGCAGCAGCACGAGGCCACAGAGCGTCACGGCGAGGCCGACCCACCACAGAGGCGTCCACGTCTCCCCGAAGAGAAGTCTGCCCAGCATGGCCTGAAGGAAAGGACAGAGACAAAGCTTTGCTGAGCTGCCTCAGAGCCTCCCGCGCTGCCAGAGCCAGGGGGACTTCTGCTGGGAGAGCCAGCCCAGGAAAAAAACCTGCTTGAGGGAAGTCCTGCTGGGACCACCAAGAGAAACGGCTGCTGCAGGTGATGTTGGAGATGACCCGCTCTAGAATCCAGCCAGTTCTGGTGCCAAAACAGGATTTCGGCAAATGCACATGCACTTTGCTGCCTTCCCAGCACCTCCCAGGAGCCAAATGTCCAGTCAACTAGGTGACTCTGGTTGATAAAGAAAAAGGCACCACTGACTTGAGTTTTGGGGATCACCACGAGCTGGCTGTGAGCTGTCAGAGCACGGAAACAAAGACCTGCTGCTGAGAGTGAAAAGTGAGCAGAAAAAACATGCAGGTCAAAAACGCTCTTGCTGTCACTAGAGGCAGTGCATCTTCACAGCCAGCTAGGGTGGCTTTGGCTTGTCACAGGTGAGGTGTTGCAAAGGAAAAGTAAAACAAAGCAAGGCTCTCAGCTCCTACTCCCACTGGCAACTAGTAAAGTTCAGTAAACGTCACAGCTTCTGCAATGCCACAGCACTGGGCAGCAGCACCCTTCATAGAATCATAGAATCGTCTAGGTTGGAAGAGACCCTTGGGATCATCGAGTCCAACCATCTACCCTACTCTACAAAGTCCTCCCCTACACCATGTCCCTCAGCACTGCATCTAAATGGCCCTTAAACACAGCCAGGGATGGTGACTCCACCACCTCCCTGGGCAGCCTGTTCCAATGCCCGACCACTCTTTCGGTGAAAAATTCTTTCCTAATGTTCAATCTAAACCTACCCTGTTGGAGCTTGAAGCCATTCCCTCTCGTTCTGTCACTAATTACCTGTGAGAAGAGACCAGCACCAACCTCTCTACAGTGTCCTTTCAAGTAGTTGTAGAGAGTGATGAGGTCTTCCTCCTGCACCACCCAGAAAAGCCCTACAGTCTCTGCCATGGAGAACTGTCAGAGCAGCTGAGGCCTGACACAATCATTTCACCACTGCCTGTAACTCCCCCTTTGCAGCCCGTGGTGACGTTCGCAGTGGGAGATGAGTGCCCAGCGTGACCATTCCCACAGCGCTGTGCTCCTCCAGGCTTTGGTGCCCGGGGAAGGGATCTACTCACCGAGGAGATGAAGTTGGAGGCCGTCATCGTCACAGAGGCAGCGGCTGAGGAGGAGGAGAGTCGCAGGGCTTTCGCGAAGACCGTCCACATCACCGCGTTGCACGCCAACACCAAGCCAACGCAGCCGACGCGAAGCAGGACGGGCAGCTGCAGGGCAAAAGGGAAAATCTCACGTATTTTCACTTCATGGTGACGTTTGCACTGGGAGATGAGTGTCCAGCGTGACCACTCCCACAGCGCTGTGCTCCTCCAGGCTTTGGTGCCCGGGGAAGGGATCTACTCACCGAGGAGATGAAGTTGGAGGCCGTCATCGTCACAGAGGCAGCGGCTGAGGAGGAGGAGAGTCGCAGGGCTTTCGCGAAGACCGTCCACATCACCGCGTTGCACGCCAACACCAAGCCAACGCAGCCGACGCGAAGCAGGACGGGCAGCTGCAGGGCAAAAGGGAAAATCTCACGTATTTTCACTTCCCTGACCCCTCGCTCACCCTCGCTGTTTCACAAGCACTTTGGAGCAAAACCTAATGGTGTGGGCTGGTATGACACAAAGATGAATATAGTAAATTGCAGAAGGAAACAGAAGTGACAAAACAGCCCTGGATGGGGTACGACCCTGGCACGTCCCACTGTGAATCCAGGCTCAGACCACAAGCTGGGAAGTGCCAGGACAGCATACAACAGTTGCCACCCCAGAAACCAAACCCCAGAAAACTCTCAGGCTCTTGCCATGGGGCAGATGCAATCCAGTGAAATGCCCTTCACCCATCACCAGATGTATGGGAAGGGGTGGAATTCAGCCCTGCCAGAAAGGAACATCAAAGATGTATGTGGTCCAGGACCCATCAGTTGTGAACTGAGACAAGTGTTCCCAAAGCACTGGTCCTCACCACCTCCCATGACCTGGCCTGCCTTACTGCTGCAGCGAGGGCAGAGCAGGGTCCTCTGGGAGGAAAGTAAGAGCTGAGAGGCTTCATCTCTTATTTTGCACGCTTGCCTGGAGGGCAGATTTACCGAGAGCAATCTGCTCCAGTGTTTAGCAGCAACACCACCTCTGCATTCAAGGGCCTTCAAGGCCAACTAGGTTCTCAAGAAGGATCTCTGTCCTTAGACAAGCTGACAAGAAATTTAACAACCTGGCAAGAGGGCAGAGGTTTGCCTAAAAAGCCTTCACCATTCGCAGTCTCCTCCTGCACCCACCGTTTCAGTTGCTGTGGCCATCGCCCTAGCTGAGTGTCATGTACTTGACACAAAGACACCAACAGAGGAAATCACAAGCAGATCATTGACTCCTGCAAACACTGAAGGAGCAAGACTTTGTCTAAGCCCACAGGAATCATACCTTCATAGCCTGTCACTTCCCTCAGTCCATGGTGGGATCCATCTTGAAGCAGAGATGTAGGCATGAAGCCACCAACAAACACAGCTGAGAGGTGGCACCTACCCCACTGGAACAGCTGCCCAAATCAACGGGTGGCTAACAGGCTAAGGCTGCAAAGCAAATCCCTGCTTGATGGCTGGTACAAGCTCTCTGATGCTCACCCCATCCCAGAGAGGGATGGTTGAGGTACTAAGCCTCATTTTGCCCTGCTCATGGCAATGGTCTCCACCTTTATCAGGGCAAAGGTAAACGATCCCAAATGATTCCCACCTGTGAAGCACTTTGCTTTCCCACTGCTGCAGTGGCAAATTCTGTGGAGAGAGGTAAGAGGGACAACCGTGCCCAGCTGCTACTGGCCTTCTGGGCAAGAAACCTGCTGCTGTGTTATGGGTCACTGTGGTATGGGGTTTGCCTCCTGGTTTCACCCTTAGCCTGTGTGGGCAGACAGTTTTGCCTTGCTCAGGGCAGTTCTGTACGTCCATGTAAGCCTCTAGTGGGTAGGCAGACTCGGGCACAAGGAGATGAGAGGGGAAAACAATTCCCTGTGTTTCACCTAAATTCAGTTTATTCTTTTCTGGATCAGAAGGAGCCTACCATGGTGTGCTGCTGGAGAAAAAAAGCCTTAACAAAAAGAGATCTTGTTACTGTCTTCAACCACCCACCAGAGGGTGTAGAGAGGATGGAGCCCAGGCTCTTCTCTGAGGTGCGTTGGGATATGATAAAAGGCAGCAAGTGAATGTTGGAACAAGTGAAGTTTTGATCTGATACAAGGGGAAAAAAAGGGTGATCAAACACTGGAACAGAGCTCATGGGCACTCCAACCCTGGAGATATGCAAAGCTTGACTGGAGAAATGAGCAACCTGTTGCAGAACAGGCTAGGCATTCAAAGGTCCTCACCAACCTGCATTGGTGTGCAAGTCTATCAGTGCTGGAGAAAAGCTGGTTCCCACCGTGATAGCAACTATGCTATCTTCAAAAGAGACCCTGAACACATGGGTTCTTCTATTCTTCTTCAATTGCATAGCCAGGGGAATCATCTGCAGTGTGCTCTGCAGGTGGCATGTGCCCCAAAAGAAGGGTTTCCAGAGAGAGGTCAAGCCCCTCTGTATCCTGGGCAGAGGAGTGGTCATCGCAATGGCATGCAGGCAAGGAGATAGGAACATCCCCAGGTGTTCCCCACAAGGAAGGAGGGAGGTATAAATTCTTCTCCTGCCAAGGGCTCAGCCATGCCAGCCCAGTGAGTCAAGGATTACTGTTCTGATTGCTTTTCTAACAGAAGATTAATTTCAGTGTACATTTCAGATAATCCAGAATCACTCCTGAAGTGGCAGAAGTAATTTTAGATGAAGTTTGGCAGGGGAGAGGGAAACGTAAAGGAAAACTTTTGTTCAAGTGAAATGACCCCTCCTGGTCAAGTCTCTCCCAGGCTGAGCCATCACAACACATCCTTCTGGCCAGGAAATCCATCTTTGTGCTGCCGTGGAGTTTCCTGTTACCCTACGTCATAACCTCCTACAAGTGTCAATACACCCTTTAACATTTGCTGCCACTTTCACACTGCACAAGTGATGGCCGCTCTCTTGGACTTATTTTCCAGTCTCTGTAGTTCTTCCTCAAACACAAAACTCCTTGAGTCTCTGTCGCCTTGTGGCTGCTCTGCAGAAACACCTTTGTACCGAGTGTGGAGGATTCAAACACCAAGTCCTCTGAAATGTTTCAACTTCTATGGCCCCATGCAATTTAAGCTAGTAAAAAGATTATGGCCTTTACTTAAAACTATTAGTTTGACAGCTGAACTGATTAATTTAGTTCACAATTACCACCTGGAATGCACCTGAAAGAAGTAACTGGAGGAACAAATTTGTTCAGAAAAAAGAAACATGATCACAGAATCATAGCACGGTTGAAGTTGGAAGAACCTCTGGAGATCATCTGGTCCAATCCCTCAGCAAATAGAGCAGGTTGCCCAAGACTGTGTCCAGACAGCGTCTGACTATGTCCCAAGGATGGAGACTCCACAACCTCTCTGGGCAACCTGTGCCAGTGCTCAGTCACCCTCATAGGTCCTAATGTTCAGGGGAACCTCCTGTGTTTCAGCTTGTGAACTGAAACATCAGTCTCTGACCATCACCTCTGGTCCTGTCACTGGGCAGCACTGGAAAGAGCTGGTTGTGTCATCTGTGTACCCTCCCTTCAGGTATTTATACACATTCTGTGTCATCTGTGCACCCTCCCTTCAGGTATTTATACACATTGATGAGATTACCCTCAGCCTTCTCCAGGCTGAACCATCCCAGATCTCTCAGTCTTTCCTCATAGGAGAGATGCTCTGGTCTCTTCATCATCTTCCAGGCCCTTTGCTGGACTCTCTCCAGTACCTCTATCTCATTTTTGTACTGGGGAGCCCAGACTTGGACCCAGCACTCCAGGTGTGGCCTCACCAGTGCTGAGTAGAGGGGAAGGATCACCTGCTGGCAAGACTCTACCTTCATGATGCTCCCCTTTTCCAAAAAAAAACAAAAAACCCAACACCCAACAAATGGGCAATATTGCTATAAATTTCAAAGGAGAAAAATATTCAGAAAAGATGCTGTCAATACTTTCAGTAATTCCATGTTCTCCTTTGCTGTCAGTGGAGAGCCCAATTTTTTTTAAGGGGATTTGGAACCGTATCAGGATTTAAATTTTTGATTCTCCTCTCTGCCACCTTTTCTGCTGTATCAGAAAGGATCAACAGGAGTGGTGAGTACTGAGTTTCTGCCCTTTTAACCATCCCTAATAACAACACAAGCCGATTTTCTTTTGTCCCGATGTGAGGCTAGATTTTTTTTCAGATCTAACTTCTCTCATGGGTTCTCCTCTGGATTCCCAAGTCCTAATGTACGTTCCCCATACGAGTAACAACCCCTGCTGTGCCCCAAAACGAGTCTCTTCCCAGCGTGTTTTTATGCTATGTGTCCATCTCAGCATCTCCCTGCTCACGCACCATCTTGTGCACATCTCTGCGAGGGTTCACCTCTGCAGGTAAGGACAGCAGGTGCTGGGGGTGAAAGGCTGCTGTCCCACGTGGCCTGACACGTAAGGAGGTTTGAGAAACACCACTGAGATAAAGATCATCCCTTACAAACACCCCAGGGAGAGCCTGATGGGTGCATGGAGCCGCATGGTGGACACCAACCGCTCCACCTCCCCGCTCCTGCCAGGAGGGAGCAGAAACAGAAGTGTAAGAAGTTCCACCTAAACGTGAGGAGGAACTTCTTTACTGTGAGAGTGACAGAGCCCTGGAAGAGGCTGCCCAGAGAGGTGGTGGAGTCTCTTTCTCTGGAGACATGCAAAATCCACCTGGAGAAATTCATGTGCACCCTGGTCTGGGTGGACCCGCTCGGCAGGGGGGTTGGAGTAGATGATCTCCAGAGGTCCCTTGCAACCCCATGTGATTCTCTGATCCTACCGACAGAGCAAGGGTGATGTTATTAGGCTGAAGCAGAGGCTGAGAACCAGGGCTCCATACCCACACAAGGCTACCAACACCCTGCCTCTGAAGTAAAGCTGAGGTAAAGCCACTTGTCAAGGTGCTCTCTGCGAGGGTTCACCTCTGCAGGTAAGGACAGCAGGTGCTGGGGGTGAAAGGCTGCTGTCCCACGTGGCCTGACACGTAAGGAGGTTTGAGAAACACCACTGAGATAAAGATCATCCCTTACAAACACCCCAGGGAGAGCCTGATGGGTGCATGGAGCCGCATGGTGGACACCAACCGCTCCACCTCCCCGCTCCTGCCAGGAGGGAGCAGAAACAGAAGTGTAAGAAGTTCCACCTAAACGTGAGGAGGAACTTCTTTACTGTGAGAGTGACAGAGCCCTGGAAGAGGCTGCCCAGAGAGGTGGTGGAGTCTCTTTCTCTGGAGACATGCAAAATCCACCTGGAGAAATTCATGTGCACCCTGGTCTGGGTGGACCCGCTCGGCAGGGGGGTTGGAGTAGATGATCTCCAGAGGTCCCTTGCAACCCCATGTGATTCTCTGATTCTACCGACAGAGCAAGGGTGATGTTATTAGGCTGAAGCAGAGGCTGAGAACCAGGGCTCCATACCCACACAAGGCTACCAACACCCTGCCTCTGAAGTAAAGCTGAGGTAAAGCCACTTGTCAAGGTGCTCCTTCCGGGGCGCGGCCCAGCGCCGCACCGCCCCTGCGCGGGAGCGGGCCCGGAGGGAGAGGGCGGCCGCGGCGGGGATGGGGTCACGGGACTGCCTCCAGAGCTGGGACTTGGTTTCAGGCGCTCCCATGGCGCGCTGGGGACCTCCTTCTCTCTCCCCCCCCACACCCCCCCACCAAAGCTCCATCCAACCCGGCCTTGAACGCATCCAGGGATGGGGCAGCCACAGCTTCCCGAGACCCCACCTGGAGCACTGTGTCCAGCTCCAGAGGCCTCAACACAAAGGACATGGACCAGCAGGAACAGGTCCAGCAGAGGGCCACAAAGATGATCAGAGGATGGAGCACCTATGCTATGAAGACAGGCTGAGAGCTGGGGTTGTTCAGCCTGGAGAAGAAAAGGCTCCTGGGAGACCTTATAACAACCTTCCAATATCTGAAGGGGCTACAGGAGAGATGGGGAGGGACTTTGTCAGGAAGTGTAGTGACAGGACAAGGGGTAACAGTTTTAAACTGAAATAGGGGAGATTTAGATTAGGTACCAGAAAGAAATTCCTTCCTGTGAGGGTGGTGAGGCACTGGAACAGGTTGCCCAGAGAAGCTGTGGCTGCCCCATCCCTGGAGGGGTTCAAGGCCAGGCTGGATGGGG